GCCGGTAAATAAATTAAAATTTAATATAGGAAATAGGAATACCCAATATCTAGTACTTATATAATCTTCCCCTAATTCCCAGAACTGCAGCTATCCTATCAGGCATTGATTTCTACAACTTCTCAAAAAACTCTTCAGGAATTATTTCCCAAACTAATGGTAATACATATGCCAACTTCTGCTTAACAGCTTCTTTTTCTCCTGGGGTATCAGCAATCCTGGAATACTATTAGTGCAAGTACTTTTTAAGCTTAACCTATGCATACTCAGTAGGATTTAAATCAGGGGAATAAGGGAGATGCTCCTCCACCCCAATAGAGTTTCTTTCTAACAAATCTATAACACTATAAGCCTGGTGAACAAGAGAATTGTCTTGCTGAAACAGAATATCTTGCATGCCAAAAGAGATTATTTGATGAATAACAGGAAAAAGATGTCTTCTTAAAAGCCTAACATACTTGGTCTTATTCATATTTTGAGTAATAGAAACTAAAGGACCTTTTCTCTTACCCCAGAGCACTGTCAAATCATAAGCAAAATTTCCTTATCTTTCTCCTTTGGATGAACACAATCAGCTTGCCACTACTCTCTAGGTCCTCTGAATACCCATTGATGCCTTGGATTTCTCCACACTATACTCATCACTCCAAATTACTGCTTCAAAATCCTCTACCATCCAATCCTTATGAATTGTAACCCATCTCAATCTCTTCGCCACCAGCTCAGGTTTGAGCCTACACCTTGATTTGGCAAGCCATTTCTTGATATTAGCCCCTCTGAGTACTCTATTCACTATTTTTATTAATATTAGTTAGTCAATTATAGCCTATCCCTCATGATAGTACTAGTACTAAGGGGAATCACCAGTAGAAAGAGAAATTCCCAGAATATATTTATCCCTAAAGGTAGATCTGGTCATTTTCTGGTTGTTTTTAGCTACCTAGACAATTTTGTAACAACACTGATGGCTGAGAACTGGGGTGTGACCAGGATTAGAAAGGTTATTCTGAGATTAGTGCTTACATGCACAAGTAAGAAAGCTTTTGATTATTGTCCAGGGCCGGCCAATCACTTGAGCAACCAGAGCAATATTGAGGAGGCAGTAGTAAAAGGCAATTATTATTCCTTTTTCAATATTGGTCATCTCTCTTCATGAGATTTTAGGTATTCGCTTGTTTTTTAGTATAGAAGGATTTGCATATCCAGACTGGTAAACCATGATTTAAAAAGACAATTGAGGAGCAGGCTGTATGTATTTTGTATTATTTCATTAATAGGTGAGACAATTTGGACTAACACAGTTCAACTTGAGAACTAGACTATAAGTCTAATAACTCCCAAGATTAGATAATTACTATTAGAAATAGTAAAGTTTCTAATTGGAAAAATAGTAATTACCGAAGAGGGTGTGATGGTTTTCAGTGTCTCCTAGTATTCACACTTCAGGAAAATATCCAATGTTGTGAGTTATAGTTAAAGAAGTACATAGTTTATATGAGAGTTAGAAGTAGTCCGTAAATACTCAGACACGGAATATTAATATCAAAGTACCTCCCATACTTTTAGACCTCATCAAGTGATAGAGAAGAGACATTAATAATATAATCTTATTTACATGATTATATTTTACTTTACATCATTCTTAGTTGTCAAAAACTAAATGAGCAACTCTTTAAGCCTCTTTAGACAAAATCTCTCTCTATGAAACGAATCTTGATTGGCCTAGACAAGTCTGAATCTTTACAGATCATTTCCGCCTAACAATCACCAACTTTAAATCTCACTAACTTCTGATCTACCCTACAGATATCTTCCACATAAGTTCCTACTAATTTACAAGAAGCCATTCTACCCGATTGGCATATAATTTCTTAGTCAGCAACTCTTAGTTGTCCTAGGTAATAGGACTAGAGTTATTATCTGGTATTGGTGATAATTCACACAACTATGATGCATTTATTAGGTGAAGACAACCTGATAAAGTTCAGTGTTATCTAGGCCAACTAAAATTCATTTCTGTAGATGGAAATTGTCTAGAAAGGCTCGAACTTCACTCATTTCATTTATAATTACTAAGAGTGAAGTAAAATAGGTAAAGTAGAATTGAATCGTAAAGACAATATTATATTGTTAGGTCTCTTCTCCATTGCTTGATGATCTTTTATCAGCTTAGAGGTACTACTTGTATCAAAATATTAAGTATATAAATTACTAAAATAAGTTTAACCTCAGTGGGAGTTGAACACCTGAACTTACAAATCAACACATAGATCATATCAACTAAACTAGTATATAGTATCTAAAGCTAGAAAGGAACTTCAACATTTATATTCTGTGTCTGAGTGTTCACAGACCATATCTATTTATTATATAACTATGGATCTCTCTGATTATAACTCACAACATCAGGTATTCTTAAAAGGTGCAAACACCTGGAGATCCTAAAAATCACCACACTCTTTTCGGCAATTACAATATAACTAACAACCATTATATTTCCAATAGTAGTTATTCAAACATTAGAGTCATTAGACTTATAGCCTAGTTCTCAAGTCAAACTGAGTTAGCCCCAATTGTCTCTATTGTTGATGAAATAATTAGTTTTATCTGCGGGTTGCATCTGTAAACGTAGTCGTAATCTCAATCTTTTCAGGTTACTTGACTTTAAACCTTCATAACTCCTTACTCAACTAATAGATATCTTCTAAAGGACTTCCTACTAATTAGCAGAAAGCTATTCCACTAGATTGACAAATAATTCCTCAGTTGGCAATCCTTGCTTACTCTGGATGACTCTGTGAAGTTGTATATGCAATTTTCTTAAGTTTCCGACTTCAAAGCTCAATATCTTCTAACCCAACCAATGGATTCTTATCCAGTAACTTCTCCATGTAGAGGAGAAGTACTTCTATAGGATAGAATCATAACCCTTTGGTCAGAGGTTCTCAGTTGTCGTTCAGGAAGCCTTGCAGTTGCAAGTGACATTAGTAGAAAATATTTCAATACCAGAAATAACTTTGACAACTACAGGAGTTAAACATGTGACCTTTAGTGAAGAGTCATGTGATATTCCAATTGAGCTATGTAGCTGAGATTGATTTATATGATGACATGTGGGCCCTGTAAGGTGGCCAGATGGGAGTGTTGATGACCACGAATTGCGATTCTGAATGGGTTATTCTACTTAGGGTGATTCCTAGGTATCAGATCCCAGTATTCCTAACAGTATTCCTTGACTTAAGGTAATACTCTAAGAAGTCTATTGGCTTCTTCAGTAGTACTTTCCCAGAGTTCTAAACTCTATTAATTATCACAAGGTTGATGAGAATGTATTGACTCTTCATAGTGATCCTTTAACATTCAATATCATATTTTTTTACAAAAAATGTCCCATTACTTACAGCACTTCCAAAGATGTTCCATCTTTGAAGTATAGTAACTCTCTAGAAAGTTGATAGATTTGCTTCAGTCCACTTTCCGAAGCTAGTTGAAGGTCCCCACTTGTATATTCTGTGAACAAGATTTGGTTAGCCAGATGGTAGCAACCTATATGGTTTTTCTCTTATATTTTTACTTTTGTGGCATTATAGTCACAGGACGCAACTAAGATAGATATGTATGATGATGTGCAGGCCTGTAAGGGGGCCAGAGAGGGGTGTTGGACATAAGAGATTCCAATTCCAAGCAGGGTTACCCTACTTAGGATGGTTCCTAGGTGTCGGATCCCAGTACCCCTGACACATAAACTGAAGCAATTGCAGCCTTAATGCATATTTCAATATCAGCAAATAGCTCTCTACCTGCTGACTGGAAAGGATGAAGGATGGAGCTGGTGGCATAATTTCAGATGATTGTCGTAATAGTTGATTGCAGTAAGATTGTTCTATATTTAACCACTCTGCTATTTTTAATAAATACAAGTTTATCTTACTATATTATACCGGTAAAAAAAAAGAAGAAGAAAAACACGATGCTATGAAATAATATTGAGTCACAAAGAGAGCCACCATATTGTATAGAACTACCAAGTTACATTGAGCCACTAAGTGACGTTGAGTCACAATGTTGTGTTGAGCCACAAAGTTACGTTGAGCCGTAAAGTTACATCGAGCTGTCAGGCACTCTGGAAGAGTGACCCTGGTTGCGAGAGATTGATCAGCCAGGGGTTATGGCAACCAGCCACAACCGTGGCACGAGTAGGCACTTTAGTCTGACAGTTCTCAACTTCTTTCTTATCAAAGTCGCACAAAGGGAAGGGGTTCCTGTTGAATCTGAAAAATTCCCTTCAACCGAACGAGAAGATAGCGAGGCAGCTCGTTTTTTTCCGTCGGGATTGATAAATACCATGGCGCTATTGTTCTATCTTATCAAAAATTTCTATAGATGACCGAGGTAGCACGTTCTAATGTTGAAAGCCATAGGCGGCGGTGGGAAGGGAAGAAGCATTCTTTGCTTTTTTTGGTTTTTGTTAAATCCGTGGTTAAATCCGTGTTATGATTTTACGGAGAAGCATTGATTGATGATACCTGTATGGCGTGGTTTGTTCTGGTTTGGTCTGGTCTAGTCTGCATGGGTCGTCGGATTGGGAGTTTTTTTGTATTGATTGGTCAGTTGGTGAGATTGCTCTCCACGAGCACGTACAGTACTTAAAAGCTCCTTTCCTTCTGTAACTGTAGATTGTGCAAATAGTATGGTGCCCCAACGAGTGAGAGTTTAATCAATGGAGAACGCATTATTATCGCAGTGTGGGAGGGTCTGTCTGTCCGAGTGCCCGGATGTGTCCCTAATCCCCCAAAACCAGAGAGCTTATCATGATAGGCAGAGAGTTCAGAGCATGCCCGTGTTCACCGGGATGTGCTCAGAGGTAAGAAACGTACCGGTATTTAGCTTGGTAGCTACCGGTAGCTTACTTGCGGGGTGGGTTGAGGACACATTATAGCTTAAGGATGAGGTACAGTACGTAATGACAATGTGGAGAGGGAGAATCTATCATAGTTTGAAGGTTTGTGTCTGAAGAAGGATGTCTAACCATGGACATGTACAGTATTATCGTGCGGTTGGTTTGATATGGTCTGCCAGTCCTTACTTCTATCCCATGAACCAGAGAGTTTATCGTCAGGACGAGCAGGTGCCGGCAGCAGGTGGGCTCATTCAACAAATCAGCAGGTTAGTCCTGTTGTTTCTATGACTGGGTGCACGGGAAAGACAGCTTGATGTCAACATTTTCAGACAGGTAGATGGAATGAATGGAATGGATGGAGTGATTGATGAATCTGACGGATATCCTCTTTCCCAAGCCTCTCCATTCATCGACTACCGGTACCTCCCGTGAATAATACTTATCCTGCTGCACTTCACAGTGCGTGATACAGTACCTACAATCCTTCTTTTTTTCTCTTTTCCGTAGACTACAAGGACTACGAGTACAACATAGTATTTCTTCCCAACTACGGTAACTACACTTCTCACCCTCGTATCCATTGAACTTCAAACAAGTAGTTTAGTTGTCTCTCCGCCGACTGAATACAGAGGTTCTCTCTCATAATAATGAGGACTTGATTCCGCGACATCTACCGTGCTTCTTCTTCCTCACGGCTTTCTTAGACAGATTGACAGAAGGAATCAAGCACAGTACAGGTCCTGTTCGGGCCCCAGCAGTTCCCCAGCTTGGTTCCTGCTCCGTTTCTAGTACTGCGTGCAGACCACACCCCTAGACCCTTTCTCTCCCCCTCTCGCTACTACACCCTATTTTCTCACCCGTCGTCCACCCATCCATCCTCCCTTCCCTCACGCTCCCCTCTTATTCTTCCTTCTCTCGCCTTTCCTTCTCGTTACTCGCCCTAATAATTATTTTTTCCTCACTCTGCGTTCCTTCCCCTTCCTCCCTTCTCCCCTTCCCCTCCACCGTGTCTCCGCCAATTTATTCTCTTCTCGCTCTCTCCCCAATCCTCCTTGACAGGCCTGCCCTGCCAACAGCGGCCATCCTCTCTCACTCATCGCCTATCGGTCCTTTTTTTTTTCTTCTTCTTCGTTGAGTCGCTCCACCCCTTTTTAATCTGTCGCCAGACTCTGTGCCAGTAGTCAACGGTAACGCATACACGGTCCCTTTGTCGTACTTTCTTCCGAGCAATCCAGCCCTAGTTATTTTTTTTTCCCTATCCCTTTACTCGCCAACGGTCAATCCTTTCGGAACCCATATTTCTCCTTTGCGACAGGTTGCGGAATTACCCACATCGGCCAGCAGGTGTCATATATCCGCTGCCTTTTCTCCGCGACTCCCTAATCTCTGTACTGTCGACTGCCGTCCCGACCTGGCTTTCATCCTTACCGACAGCACCGGTCTCCTTATTCCGGGAATTAAGAAGGAGAGGGAGGAACTCCGTAGCGTACAAACTCGCTGCGATCTAACCCAAAAGTTCGCCTGAGAGGGAGGGGGAAAAAGGAAAGGGAAAATAACGACTACGAAAAAATATCACCTGTCAGCTGTGCTATAGAGAAATAATTACGAAGGAAGGGGTCCGATTTGAGGGAAAAAATTAATCGCACGGTGTTTTTCAATAGACTGGTTTCGGTACCTTATATTCTGAGGTCACGTTTGGTTGCTGCACTAGCACTTTCGACATCGATACGAAACTTGTAGCCACACCATCACAACGGCTGCAGAAAGGTTTTCCCAGCCTTTTTACGCTCCAACTAGAAATACCAAAGAGCAAGCCTCTCCGACTGGCGGGCCCACATCATTGGTAGGCCTGAGACCGTTACCCCTTCTTTTTAAGTCACCATTGGAGTAATTCCAATCGGTAGACCCTCAGTGCTAACCTTTTCAACGGAACCGCTGTAGACATAATTCCTAATGTCGTCGTCTTCCGAAATCAACATGAACCATCTCGCTCCACAACACATCTCAGGTTCCTCTACCGGGGCCAACACAACAAATACATCTCCTACTGATTCGGCATCGGGCAATTCTTTACGGGCTAGTTATAATCCAAATGGTGCCATGAACAGTGCTGGTGGTTCCACCAGTAATGTGAGAATGGGGGCAGGTTCCCCATCTTACGATGCTTCGGGCAGTAGTAGGCTTTTCTCTAAAAGGTTAGTCTACCCATCATACTTTGGGTCTTTCAAACTGTTGCCTGTTTAATAAGGCTAAATGGAAGTCTGGTCATTTCTTCAGAGCCCGTGAGATTCAGGCGGAAGAAGGTGTTGCACCACCGGGTCTATGGGGGATGTCATCCTCGAATCAATCGTCATCCTCTTTGAGAGATCGTGAAAGCATGACCCAGGAGATGAACCCTATCAACAGCTACCAGGAACCACCTGCTATACAAACCGATTACGCCTCCCCTGTCCACCGCCGTGCTCGTGCGGGAACCGTTCCATCTAGATTCTCTCCGGGTGGCTTCACTACCGCCCCGACCATTATTCCTGGAATCCCTTCCACAAGCCGCCCCTCCCCGGCACCCTCCCCGTTTAAATCCAACTCTCCACAGAATGTCGAGATGGTGGACAATAGTCAAGTATCGGTTGCCCAGTCATCTTCATCTGTTGCTTCAAGATTGAGATCCGGATCCCTGAACCTCCCTCCCCGTGCCAACTATGTGAGCCCGTTTGGACCGTCTATTTTTGCGAGTTCTTGGACCCCTGGTCGTCCTACCGCGGGTGGGAACAACGGGCTTCCTTCATCACCTGCACATTCGTCCTTCTCGAAGGATGATGAAGGAACTCATATGGCACCAAAGACCTTGGATTACCTTGGACTTGTAGATAGCCCCCAAGCCGCTCGTGCTACGTTGGCTAAACCGATGGGCCTGGATACTCTTATTGAAGGGCAAAGGGCAGCAGCTTTGCAACCATTTATCTCTGACCTTGCTGGTATTCAAAGGTCTAATAGGATCCGCTCATACTCTGTCAATGCCAAGGAAAAGTACGCTGAAGATGAAGAAGAGGAGGAGGAGGAGGAACAACGTCACCTCTACTCTGGACAACAAAGTGGCAACGTAACGCCCTCGTCTCAAGCTAACTTGGCTGCCCAGGCAGCTCTTCACTCTCTCAGTGTAGCTTACTCCCCAAGTCGTCCCAGAGCCAGGACTGCCGGTGTCCTGGATTCACCTCCAGTCAATCGACTAAAGTCTTATCTGGCCACGCCATCAAGATTGGACTCCATGACAAGTGCCTCTGATATTGGCCGGGATTACTTTGATTTAGCAAACAATTCTGATCATACTTTGAAGCTCGGAAACATGCATCCTAGGCCATCAAGTGGAGAAGGAGGTTTAGCTTCGATTGAAGAGTCTTCTCTAGAAGGGCCTACACGCTCACTTTGGCTCGGAAATATCCCCGCATCGACCACTACGACATCGCTTGTTCATATCTTCCAGGGTTTTGGTAATGTTGAGTCCGCTCGCGTTCTTACCCACAAGAACTGTGGGTTTGTCAACTTTAATAGCATCGACTCTGCGGTCCAGGCCCGAAGCAGCCTCAACGGAAAGGAAATTTTTCCTGGTGCTGGCCCGGTGAGAATTGGGTTTGCGAAACCATCCTCAGCTGGAAGCAATGGTACTCCCACACCAAATGGTGGTGCTTACGGTTCCCCGAGTCCTGGGCCCCCAGGCGATTCCGCACCTTCTGCGATTGGGGATGGTGCTCTGTCTCGTGATTCAAATGGTGCTGCTGCTAATGGAAACGACACCCGCGACAGCGTTGCAGCACTCAAATTGCCTGATCTGATTGATATGAGGGAAGATATTGTCAAGATTGTACAGGAATTTGGTGCGGAGCATGATGATGCTTTGATGGTGGGAAACAACATTGATAAGGCTGTTGAATATCAGAATTTTGAGCCTGAAATCCCACCAATCCCGGAGCCAACCCACAATCGCGTTCATGACGCGCCTAAATTGCGTGATATCAGGAAACGGATTGATAATGGAAATTGCTCGCAAACTGAAATTGAGGAGATCGCGATGACCATGTTGGATGAGATTGCCGAACTCTCTAGTGGTATGCTTCCCAAGTTTCCCAAGAATCAGTGATCTCATGAACTTGAAACTAATGTATATTAGATTACCTTGGAAACACTGTTGTACAGAAGCTCTTTGAATACTGCTCTGAGGAGATCAAGGGGGCGATGTTGGTAGAGATCGGTCCCCACCTTGCCGAAATTGGAATCCGTGAGTACATTTTATCAACCGGTCACATACAGTTTGATGCTGATTCATCCTTGTATGCAGATAAGAATGGCACTTGGGCTGGGCAGAAAATCATTGATGTCGCTAAAACCCCTGCTCAAATGCAGAAGATTTGTGATTGTCTCCGACCCTATACCGTCGCTCTGTTCCTCGACCAATATGGAAACTACGTTCTTCAATGCTGCCTTCGCTTTGGCGCCCCGTGGAACGACTTTATTTTCGAGACCATGTTGAGCCGTATGTGGGAAATTGCACAAGGAAGATTCGGTGCTCGAGCAATGAGGGCATGTCTCGAGAGCCATCATGCAAGCAAAGACCAGCAAAGAATGCTCGCTGCTGCTATCGCTTTGCACAGCGTCCAGCTCGCCACAAATGCGAATGGCGCTTTGTTGCTGACTTGGTTTCTGGACACCTGCACATTCCCTCGTCGTCGCACAGTTCTCGCACCACGTTTGGTTCCGCATCTTGTGCATCTTTGCACGCACAAGGTTGCTTATCTGACTGTGTTGAAAGTTATTAATCAGAGGAACGAGCCAGAGGCGCGTGACACAATCCTTAAGGCCCTATTCTTCTCGCCTGGAGATAAAGTGCTGGAAGATATTCTCAGTGATCATTCATGTGGAGCAACTCTTATTTTCAAGGTTCTTACCACACCATTCTTTGAGGAGACGATGCGGAGCGAAGTGGCTCAGAACGTCCGGAACGTCCTGCTCAAGCTGAAGGCTACCCCATCACAGGGGTACAAGAGATTAATGGACGAAGTTGGATTGCCTACTCGCAATGGGGTTTCTAATAATGCCAATACTAGTAATGGACCGAAAGACCACCCACGGGATCGTGTTAACAATAATTCAAATGCCAGTAATGATCGCAGGGGAGTGCCCCAGAACTCTCCTGCAAGCCATAACCACAATCATCATAATAATAATCGCGATCTTCCGCCAGTATCGTTTTATAATGTTACCCCTTCCAGCTTCGATCCGGCCGCCTTGGCAGCTGCCGCTTCTCAGATGCCTCAAAATGCAGGATTCGACCCAGTCGCTTTAAGGGCATTTGAGCAATTAAGCCTTACTGCAGGCTCACTTTATGGTACTCCCGGCCCTCCTGGAATCAATAACCCCGCTCTTCAATATCAGGCCTTGTTGCAACAATCGATGGGACGCTCAGGGCCAAATTTCTTCGGGATGTCCCCTTCGATGGGAAGCTATAATGGAGGGCAAGCTTCACAAGATCAGTACCGTGCTGGCCATCCCGGTAGTTCTCCTGTACCTCAGCCACAGCAAATGGCGAATAACCCGATGCTGGGGAGTATGGGTGCAACACCCGGAGTCTTCAACCCGTTGCAGCTCATGACCGGATATCCTTATGGTGTTCCGGTATTCCAACCACCACAGCAACAGGGCCACAGTGCTGGAAGTGGAAGAAGAGGCGGAAGGGTGAGTTATTCTTAGATTCGCATCTTTGACCAGCTTATACTGAATTCAATTTCACAATAGCGTTGATACGATTTGTCTATCCTCCCCCAAAAAATAATAAACACGGACGAGTCCTTTATTTCCTCTCTGCGATCAATCCTCACAAATTATCTTCGTTACTGGCGTAGCAAATTACATAAATCATACATTTTTATCAGTGCAATAAATGAGTGGTGGGGGAGGCTATGTATTCATGTAACGGAGCTCTTTTTTTATTTTTATTTTTATTAACGGGAATGGTTATTGTATGTTTCTTTGCTCTTTCCTGATTTCATTTCATCTCACTTTCTCCTGTACCCTTTCAATATTATCTAGGTTAAGAGCTGGATTTCCGTCTCGCATTCTATGATAGTTTGTTCCTAACGATCCGGGTCTTTATTTGTGACCTTTAGTTTGGCTCAATCACCGTCCTTCCCTCCTTATCTTTTTTCCCATCTCTTACGATTTTCTCATTGCTTTTTATTTTCGTCTAACATTTTCTCGCCTCCCTCTTTTTCCTAACAGCGGGAAACAAATCAAAATATTCTCACTATTTCTTACTTTTTCCATTATTTCGTTATTATGTATCCCCGCGCCTGCTGCTCATGTCTCCTTACAACTGTTTTTTTCCCTTTTTTGTGTCGCGACGAAGTTAGGAAGGGGAGCGCCCTTCCCTAACAATTACATTCTTTCGTATTTTCCTTCGGTTATGAGAACGAAGGAAGGCTTGGAAAGTCATTAATTGTAGGGACTATGCTTTTGTTAAAACGGGGATTTGGTTTTGGGAGGAAAAATAGGCACTATCACGACGAGAAGATTTCCTTACTAGCTTGGTATTATCTTATTTTATTATTTTCTTTCTATTTTGTTTCCATTCTCCTAGCATTTTGCTGACTGAATGGCCGGCTGGAATGAATGATGGAGGATGGAACAGGGTTCTCTTCAGTTTCTCTTTTTTAAAAAAGTTTTTATTTTGAAACCCTGACTTCTGCAGTAAGGTCTAAGGATCTGTTCTTCCGCTGCGGCCGTCTTGTCCACCGGTATGATACAGGTGGAATGGATTAGCACTCTATGGTATTACCAGTACTGTACTCGTATAGTACACGCAGCGTATCAGTCCTAATTGTGATACCGGCCTCTTCGGTGTTCCCCTATTTAGTTTAAACCTCTAGCTCGTCCTCCCCAGGTTTGAGTGGTGTGCACGAGTGAGGTTTTGTGATGGGTGTTAATTTGGTAGTTACCGACGTGTGGGGGTTTAGTGCGGGGGTTCCTTCTGACGGTGGGAAGCTTGTGCCTTCTCCTTGCACCTGTAGTCTCAAGTTTGCGAGGGGCAGAGTTGGACGAGGCCCTTGGCATACCGTAATTGAATTGGGGGTCAATTGTAGTAGCAGCAGTGGTAGGGTAGAAGTAGTAGTATTAGTATGATAGTAGTAATAGTAGGTGAGGAGGGAGATACGTGGTGTGTTTTGAGTTGGTTGGGCTCGTGGTCGCTCTAACCACTCCGGCAATTTCTTGCAGATTCTCCCCCCTCCCTTCTTTCCTGACCTTTTTCTTCTCTCCCTCTCTTTCCTCTTCACATTTCCTACGATCCCTTGGGGCTACATTTACCTCTGTTTGCCTATATTTTTGAATCCTCTGCCTTGTTTTTTATATTATTATTTTTCTTCGGGCTCGAGTAATACTGTGTTTGCCCTACCATGACTACTCTAGTGGGGGAGACGAAGAAGGGGCAGGAGTCCGAAAGGTCTAAGAGGGCCTGGTGGAAGCATGCTGTCGTTTACCAGATTTACCCCTCCAGTTTTAACGATTCCAATGGCGATGGCATTGGTGATATCCCTGGTATTATTGAGAAATTGGATTATCTGAAGAAACTCGGCATCGATGTTCTCTGGCTTTCCCCCAGTATGTCGTTGTCTCGCTCCCTTGCTGTTTCTTCCACGATCTATGACTGAGGGGGTTAGTTTATTGCTCCCCCATGAAGGACATGGGCTATGACATCTCCGATTACAGGAGAGTGGATCCCAGATATGGCACTCTTGAGGATGTAGAGACACTGGTGAAAGAAGCGAGGAAGAGGTCTATCAAAATTGTGATGGACTTGGTCGTTAACCACAGCTCTGATGAGGTTTGGTTGTCGGATACCCCTCCTTGGATTGTGGGGCTGATGTAGGGCACTACTCTAGCATGGATGGTTTAAAGAGTCTAGAAAGTCCAAGACCAATCCAAAGAGAGATTATTACATCTGGAGACAGCCAAAGTTTGACGCAAAGGGGAAAAGACTGCCCCCTAATAATTGGGTTTCCGTGTTCGGAGGTGATCTTCTCTCTTTCCTAATTCTTCTTTTGCCGTAAAGCTTGATCCAGATTGCTGACCTCGGCACAGGAAGTGCCTGGACATATGATGAAACAACAGGGGAATACTATCTCCACCTCTTCACATCTTCCCAGCCAGACCTTAACTGGGAATCGCCGGTACTTCGGCGAGAAGTATACAGTATTATGAGCTTCTGGCTTGAGAGACGGATCGCCGGTTTCCGCATGGATGTCATAAACCTCATCAGCAAGACTCCAGAACTACCCGATGCACCCGTCACCGATCCGAAAGAGGAATGCCAAGATGGGTCAATGTATTTCGCAAATGGCCCCCGCCTGCACGAGTTTCTGCAGGAGATGAGGAGGGAAGTTTTAGATAAGTTTGATACCATCACCATTGGCGAGATGCCTTTCGTTACCGACCCTCAGGAGGTGCTTAAGTGCGTTAAGGGAAGAAGGGAACTAGATATGGTCTTCCAATTTGACATGTTTGTTTTCCCCCAATCCACTCATCCCATTCTTGTGCTAACCCGGGTTTGTTTCGTTTGGAAGCGTCGAGGTGGACTCCGTGCCAGGCCAAAAAAAGTTTTACCCGCACAGGTGGAAGCTCGCAGACCTCAAGGCCGTCGTGGACAAGTGGCAAACGTTCATGATAAACAACGATGGTTGGAACGCAGTCTATGATGAGAACCACGACCAACCTCGCTCAGTCTTTCGCTACGTCGATAGAAGTGTTGTTGAAAGGAGCTTTCAGGCCAGGGAAATGGCGGCCAAAATGTTGGCGACTTTCCTAGTCTTGCAGAGCGGTACTTTGTTCCTTTACCAAGGACAGGAAATAGGAATGGGCAATGTGCCGAGGGAATGGGGTATCGAGGAATACAAGGACGTTGAAGGTTTGAACTTCTGGAATAAGTAAGTTTATACCATTTTTCCCCACGAGCGAACCATTAATCGATACTAATTGTGATAGATTATTGGAGGAGAGAGAGGGCGACTTGAGCAAGATGAAGGATGCCATGGAGGCTCTTCAGTCGAAGGCCAGAGATAATGCTCGAACTCCGGTTCAGGTAAGTGATGACCTATGACGTCGCATAAACCTTATTCTGCTAGAATCCAGTGCCATGGCCTCATGGCTAATCACTGCCCCCAGAAATTTATGTTATTGAGCCAATGCTGACAGATCGAATGTTTATCACAACAGTGGGATTCCAGCCCTCAAGCAGGATTCACCACCGGTAGTCCTTGGATGAGGGTGAATGATGACTACGAGGAATGGAATGTCGCAGCACAAATTGACTCTCCGTCCAGTGTGTACAATTACTACACGAAGCTGCTCGGCCTCCGTCGGGATCACAAGAACATTATCGTCTATGGGGGTTTCGAAATGCTTTCTCATAGTCATGAGAAGGTCTTCGCGTATAAGCGCTACGGCTATCACGGTCCAGACGTCGGTAAGGCTGCCGTTGTCGTAGTCATGAACTTTACCGGTGAAGCAGAAGTAGAGTGGGACCTGAAAGAGGGGAAATTTGGGAAAGAGGGGTTGTTGCAAAAACCTGAAGTAATAATCGGAACCTACGGCGATGGGAAGGTCACTGTGAAGGACGGAATCGTTCGCCTAAGGCCGTTCGAAGCTGTGGTTTTCTGGGGCGACTTTGTCGATTTCAGCAGGGGTGGAGGACAAGGCCCCAACTGCGTTGTTTCTTGAATTGGGTTTACCGATGGTATCGATTTATTTTGAATTTTGTGTTTCTGCTTTACGATTTAATGATCTCATGATAGATATGCTCTGCTGGTAGTTTGTGATTTTGAGCAATAAATTATGGATGGCGTACAATTGACTCATTGGATTTTTTTTTTTTTTTGGAAAGGAGCCGATAACCCTCTGGACTGAATTTTGAGGGAATAAAATTCTCGGAACGAAAGTTTTCCCAGTGTTCTGGGCTGCGAGAAGTCACGCAGGATCACTCGATCTCTGTGTTAAATGACAGAATTAGGTCTTGAAATAGGGGGGGGGACTTGGCGCCAGGCGATGGAGCAAAGTGCAGAAGAGCTGTAATATCTAACACTTTGTTTGGAGAAGATAAGGGTCTAGACAGCTCCATTAAATTTTTATATTCCTATCACCTTTCTCCCATGTTACAGCAGGGCATGGCGCATTTAGAGGAAAGCACAGGTATTTTATTTAAGTGCATTTGAGCTGAGAAGGTGTGATTCAATATGACTCTTGTTGGTGTTTGAGGTTGGGGGTTTGGGTTTTGGTGCGGGTAGCCAATCAATAGTGGGGAGGCATACGCTGGTCTGCGTAGGTATGAGTCTTAACATCTTCCTGCCCATCAGTCAGCAAGACCAACTCAGGCCATCGCCGATTTTTATTTTAATGTTGCGACAACTTTTTTGTCGACTCAATTTGGTGTGGCAACCACAAATACTCGTCTTCCACAGCTCCACCCCTTCCCCTAGAACCTAACAATAAGACTGGACCCGACCGACCGCCCCTCTCCCATTTTTAAAATATTTCCTTCTCCCCCTTCCTTTCCTCCCCCATCTCCCCTCACCAAACTTTTCCTCTTTGTCTCGTTTGCAAGTCCACTCATTCTCCATTGCTTTCCTTTTTGCTATCCTTTCTTTCATCAACCACACCAACTATCATCAACCTACCTAAGCGAATATTCGAGCGAGCGCGTCACCTTTTCTTCTCGCGCGACGTCACACAAAATTCACGATTCGTGATCATCCTTCCTCCACCCACCGACACAACCGCGACCCAGCAACACTCTAAAGATGTTTGGATCTGGGCCTAGCAGTGGCACGGGTGGAGGTTTTGGAGGCTTTGGGACGAATAATAATAATCAGACCGGGACTACTGGTGGAAGCGTGTTTGGCAGTGGAACGGGGTTTGGCCAACCGGCTGCTACAGGTACGTTTATTATTTTTCTCCGGAGTATTTTTCTCTACTTCTTGCGATGTTGCTTTTCTCCCTTCGATATGGGAACTTGCGTGATGTGTATCCTGCGGAATGTTTTCAACCTGTGACGTGATTGGAGCGCGTTGTCTTGAGGTTCTTTCTCCACGTGAAAGAATAATGGACGAGTGTTACTTTCTTCCATTATGGTGGCGATGGTGGCGATGGATGGCGATGATGATTACATGCATTACACTCCGGAACTCAATCTCGACTAACTTCTCCACCTGCTGGTTTCTTCTCCAGGATTTGGGAATACTGGTGGAGGATTTGGCCAGCAGCAGAGCACGTCTAATGCTTTCGGCGCTGCAACTACAACCAACACCGGCTTCGGTGGTACAAGTGGAGGTACTTCTAGAAATCTGTTCCATCATCGTCATCGTCGCTGTCATTATCTGCTTTTGTACATGCACAATCTTGCGGCCCATAAGGCTCATGTTGTCTTGATTCCCTGTCGTTTGCTCCTGTTGCAATCTTCTGAAACGATCGCGAATATTTCCTTTACCCCCTTTACACATAGCGGCGGCAATGGCCCAACACAATATAGAGCTGTAACCACATGTTGTGTGCTATGTTGTGATATCGTAGAGTTGATGGACTTGACTCTATGGATAAGTTTAAATCTAACATTCCTGGTACTCCTATAGGCTTCGGTGCGACTAATAACGCAGCAGCGTCCCCTTTTGGTACTTCTAAACCATTTGGCGGAACGACCCAACCCGGAACAGGCGGTCTTTTTGGGGGTGGTAATTCTAGTAATACAACAGCTGGCGGTACTGGATTTGGGTTCGGCGCTACCAATAATACCTCTAATGTATTTGGTGGTGGGAATACGGCGGCCGCTGGTGGAAGCGGGCTCTTCGGAAACTCGAAACCAGCCTTCGGCCCTACGACAACCACCGCAGGAGCTACGAGTGGCTTGTTCGGGACTGCCAACTCGGGCACCGGAGGTGTATTTGGGGGGGGCGCAAATACAGGGATTGGGTTTAGCTCGGGGACTGCTCAAGGACCTTTAACTGGGACGGCAAATCCCCCATACACCGCGTTTACGGAGAAGGAAGCACAGGGTGGTGCAACAAATCACTTCCAGACAATCACCTTCATGCCGGCTTATAGGAATTGGTCGTTAGAGGTACGTGTTTTTCTCTCGGGAAATCTTCGGCTAAGTCATCGCAGAGCTAACCAATATTCAGGAACTGAGGCTTCAGGATTATGTTCAAGGCCGCCGGTACGGGACTGATTCGGGCAATAGCGGCGCATTCGGTCAAGGAACCCAGTTTGGCGCCGCGTTTGGAGCTACCAGTGGTAACAACACCTCAGGCTTTGGACCGACAAATAATAGTGCGACTACTGGCGGAGGCCTTTTCGGCGGGGCAGCTAATAATAACACCGCTTCTACTCCATTCGGGGCGGCAAACACCGGAGGTGGTTTTGGTACTGGTGCTACTCAGACAGGTAGCGGTGGCCTATTTGGTGCTAGTAAGCCTGCTACTGGAGGTCTTTTCGGTGCCCCCAGCAATACTACCACAACTGGTGGTAGCGGTTTGTTTGGAGCTGGTGCCAACAACACAACTACTGGGGCTTTCGGTGGAAGCAATACTACTGGCACATTTGGAGCAACAGGAGCTACTGGCGCTACTGGCGGCTTGTTTGGTGCTGCTAACAACAACAACCAACAAGCGCAGAAACCCTTTTCTTTTGGGAACACTGGTACCGGCTTTGGGGGTGGTGCTTCAAATACTGCCTTCAATGCGCAAGGGAACAATGCTACCACTACCGGAGGTGGATTATTCGGAAACACTCAGAGCACTGCTCCTGCTTTCGGGACAACACAGACTGGTACCGGGTTTGGAGGAACGGGGGGTGCTTTCGGGACTGCCGGCCAAAACCAAGGTGGAGCTGCCTTTGGTGGTGCATTTGGAAATAATCCACAGGCTCAACCAAATAAACCTTTCGGCACTGCGTTCGGTGCTACCCAGGCTACCACTGCTACGGGCGGGGGTGGGCTGTTTGGAAATAATAACCAGCAGCAACAGCAACAGAATACTGGTGGGCTGTTCGGCGCTGGCGACAATAAACAATTTGGTCCTCCTGCCATTTCTACTGGAGCCCAGGGTGGCGGACTATTCGGGAACAATGCTACTGCTACTGGAGGCACGGCTGGGGGGCTGTTCGGGGGTGGCCAAGCTACCCAGGCTTCTCAAGGTGGGCTGTTTGGGGGCGGGACTGGTGCCAATGCTGGAAGTGTGGGGTTATTCGGCAATAACGCCAACAAGCCGCCAGGCTCACAGGGCGGTGGGCTTTTCACAAACAATGGACCTCCTTCATCAACCAGTGGCGGCCTTTTTGGGGGCTCGGCTCTTGGCGGTTCCCAACTAAATACTTCTACTGGTGGCGGGTTCTTCAATAATCAGCAACAACCACAACAACAGCAGCAGCAGATAGCTGGCAATGGTTTGTTTGGTAGTCAGTTCGGAAATAGTCTTCAAGGCCAACAGCAGCAGCAGCAGGGCTTTACTGCATCAGTCATGGATTCGCCCTATATTAGCCCTGTGCTCAATTCATCTTTGGGCAACGTACCGAACTCCCCTATGGGTCCTATTGCTACCCCACTAAGCTCTAGTGTCCAGACCAAGAAAGCTGCCATGATCCCCCATTACAAAATCGCGCCCAGGCAGCCATCTCTTGCACCTCGCCTTGGAAATAGCTTCTCTCGAAGCGGCTCACCTTTTGCCGCTTCGTCTGGTAGTCACGCTACTCTTGGTAATAGTGGAAGTTTGGGGCGCTCGTTTTCATCTACCAACAAGCTGCATTTGTTCGATGGGGATGACTCGATTCTCAATTCCAGCTCTTTCACCCCCAACACCTCGAGTCGGGTTGCCAGTTTGAAGAGATTGGTCATAGACAAGAAGATAAGGGATCAAGACTTGTTTTCCGGTGGGCAAGATCTTCGAAAGGATAATTCTGGTGGCTCGGACTTTGCGGCCAAGGGTGGAACCAAGAGTATACTTAAGAAGACTGTCAGCTTTGATATCGCAGCTAGTCGCAGGGGCGAAGAGGAGCTGTATGGTGCGGGAGCTACTTCAGCTAAGGGAAAGGAGACGATTGGGCCCACCCCCACGGCCGAGGAGATGGGTTTCTTGAGAAGTACTCCTGAGAGGCGGAGATTACGGGAGGTTGAAGAAACATCAAATGGATCCTCCACGAGTGATGCGCCCGTTGTCGGCAACGAGGTTGCTATTATCTCCGAGAAGCCGAAGGATGACAAGTCACCTGGAACGTACTGGATGGTGCCTAATGCGTCGAAATTGAAGATTCTGCCGAAAGAGCAACAGAAACGGGTTATGAATTTGACCATCGGACGCCGCGGCTATGGTCAAGTTAGATTCGACAATCCTGTTGACATTTCTGATATCGAGGATATCGACAAGATCCCCGGCCATATTGTTCTTTTTGCTCAACGGGTTTGCACCGTTTACCCTGAGACTATGCCTAAACCACCACCAGGCAAGGGCCTCAATGTGCCTGCTACGATTACCCTCGAGGATTGCTTCCCTGTTTCCAAGAACGAGCGCGGCAAGATCAGAGATCCCGAGCATCCTCGTTATGTCACTCACATCCGTCGGTTAAAGAGCATTAAGGACACCGAGTTCGTTAATTACCTTGCGAGCGAGGGCATGTGGATCTTCCGCGTCCGTCATTTCACTACATATGGACTCGTTGAGAGCGATGACGAGGAGGAAGATGGTGATTACACCGTTGATGAGCCGACGATGCTTCCTACTGGCGAAACTCCCACCCCCGCTAAGACTCCTGGCAGTTCTTTATGGGATGGTGATGAGGAGAGCAGTATGGACGCTGATGTTAGCGGTGTTGACAACACATCCAGCTATGATGATACTTTCGATTTCAAGAAATTTGGTTCTAGTGCTATTGTGTCGGGATCCAAGCGTGATAAACACAGCACTTTCTTGGGCCGCAGTGATAGGGAAACGAGTTACGAAGAGTCTGAAGAGGAAGGAGATGTTACTATGGATCAGTCTTTTTTAGGTGAAGGCTCCGTGGGTAGCGCTGAGGATGTGGATGAACCTGCGGAGCCTGTGTCGGACCAATCGGAGGAGGAGGTTGATACCACTGTTGTGGATGAAACGGACGGAGATGTAACGGGAGCCTTGGTGCTTGCCAACTCTGACATGTTGAGCCCGGTGAAGGAATACGAGGAGGAAGATACGATTACTCAAGATTCTCCCGCGAAGCCATTGCCTATGGGTCAGGACTGGACTGAACAATTGAACAACACCATCAGTCCTAAAAAGAGGAGGTTTGGTGGTGAGAGTTTCATGGCTTCTACTTGTAAACTTGCCAATAACCCGGCCAAGAAATTCAACATTGAGCCAATGAGTTATGGGTTATTGGATTTGGCAAATGATCTTTATGGCGGTCGGGCGAGCACGATAAATGGAACTTCTACGAAAGGAAAAGGAAGAGCAACGTGGGATCAGGTTGAGGTTTGAGCCGTCTTTACCCTTTTGTTTCTTTAACGACGTTTATTATTTCACTTTTCTCCTCTGCATGTATCGACTTTCCTTCCCCTGGAAACAAAAATATTCCAATGTTTATTCTCATGTAAGGTTAAGCAAAACTGAATTATATAACTGAAATTGTTCTTTACTTGTAGTCTCCTACATCCTCTAGGTATCAGCACGAAAACGCGTGGACAGCAACGAAGAACGGTGAAAGCGACGCTGGCACTGCCGGGTCGGATGAGAAACGGTGGCGGAATGCCATAAAGCCAGTTTGGGGGAAGGATGGATCTATCATTTATTTCGGAGACTTGGAAGGGTTAGAACGGAGGAGGAATTACGGCAACGATTTGAAGCTCGCAAAGCTCAAGTACTCTATTCAGGTTTGTGATTACTGTTCTATAGCCTCTGGAAGCGGGTTCTAATTGTGTGCAGAATTCCGAGAGTCATGGCACTCCTAAGCCTTTGGAACTTCAACTCCGAGCGACCACTATCAAGAGGGACGAATTCAATGTTCCAGTTGCTGAGCTTAGGATGGATACACTCTTTCACTCCTTCGCCCAGCTCAGCTGGAGCCCAGACGATCCTGCGGGTCAGCATGAGAAGAGCGTTTGGGAACTTGCCAGTGTGCTCTGGGACCCTATCGCTGGAGAATTGGCCTTGGAGGAGGAGTCGCAGGAGATGATTGAGTACATGCAAGAGACTTGCCGCAAGGAGAGATTATCCAGGTTCTTGGAAGCTTTGGTTGAAGCCGCCGCTGACGAACATGTCCATGGTGCCACTACGCTGGAAGAAGTTGCCATCGCCCATTTGACAGCTCACAGGGTCGAACAAGCTTGTGCTTCTCTTCTTGAAGCTGGAGATTTCAGACTTGCTAATTTGATTACTATGGTTGGCGGGGATGCCAAACTCAGATCGTCTATCGAGAAACAACTGGAGCAGTGGAAGAACAAGGGTGTGCTTGCGGAGATTCCGATTCCTATTAGGGCTCTTTATGAGTTGCTTGCCGGCAATACTTGTTACTCGGAAGGTGTCCGCGGCCCTCCGGAGGATGCCGCTCCTAACTTTTTTATTCTAGATCGGTTCAATCTTGACTGGAAACGTGGGTTTGGACTCAGGTTATGGTACGGATGTGCCGATGAAGAGCCGATCGGGAAAGCAGTTGTCGACTACGAAACGGACATGAGAGAGTACCCTGAGGCCGTTCCCGCTCCCAAACCCTGGTATCACACAGAGGCGAGCCCTGCCCGCGACGGTGCAATTGATATTCTTTGGGGCCTGCTGAAGCTCTATGCCGATCGCGAGCTCAACCTTGAGGAAGTCCTCGCGCCAATGAACATGACCACCAGCTATATCGACTACAGACTCAGCTGGCAGCTGCGTACCATCCTTGCAAGGAAGGGCATTAGAGACTTCAGCGGTGGAAAGCTACATAGGAGGATTGATGGTCTAGACGAATTCATCGCCGGGGGCATGGCCGACCAAACCACCATCGACTTCGCGGGCGAGCTTGAGACTCTTGGAATGTGGGAATGGGCAATCTTCGTCCTCCTCCACCTTACCGACACCGACAGCCGTGAAACAGCCGTCCGCAACGTCATAGGCAAGCACATAGATGAGCTCAAGTCCGCGGAAGGCGCCGATGTCGGGAGGAAGCTAGAATTCCTTGAGAAGACACTTCTAATCCCGAAAAATTGGATCTGCGAGGCCCGCGCCCTGCAAGCCCGCTCCGCCGGTGAGCACTCACTCGAGGCCGAGTATCTCCTTGCCGCGCAAGCCTGGAACGAAGCGCACAAGACCGTCGTTAAGAAGGTTGCGCCGGAAGCTGTCATCTCTGGTCATTTGGAAGATCTTAAGTCCATCCTCGCCAAATTCGAAGACGTCGACCTAGTCGATAAGTGGAACTTGGGTGGCCAGATTTACCTCGACTACATTCACCTTCAAGAATACGTCCTTTCTGGCAAGCCACACCTCAAGAACGCTCCCGAGCAAAAGGGCCTACCAAAATCGAATAGTCCAAAAGACCTTGCAAGACGCTTGCTCGCAGGCCTCAAGAACGCCGATAGAAAGGGGTTTCTGCAGAACATCGCAGTCAGGGAGATGGCAGGCGTTGTCGGAAGCTGGGTGCTTAAGAGCGAGGATATGGTTTGTCGCCCTTTTCTTTTCAATTTTTTCTTATTATTTAAGGTGGATATGATGGTAGCGTTGATCACTTTTCGCATAGATATCCGAAGCTCCGAAGCTCCTAGAACTCCCCCTCACCGAAGACCAGTTCCTCCGCAAGACGGTAAATCTGGGACTGGCATATTATAAAGCAAGGTTGCAGGAGGCTAGGTAGTAGTCTTGAATTGTTATTTTCTTCCTTCGCCTTGGGCGATTGCTTGCCTGCTTGATTGATGGGTTGTTTGTTTGTCTGGGAAATGTGAAAAGTTTGATTCCTTTTTGCGTTTTTATTTTTAGAAAAAAACAATCTCTTTTTATTCCTTCATTACTCTACTAAGCTTACTTATTCCTCACCATCCCGTTTTATTTTTTACCTTTTTTATTTTTTATATAGCGGTGCTTTCGTGCAGTCATGCAATTTTAGTATGATACGTGGTGATCTGAGTGGTGATAATTGAGCTCGTGTTTTTCTGTCTTTCCCATTTCTTTCTATGATACTTGGCGCTTGCGCGGGCTGGCGGGGTAATCTTGTGTCCTTGTAGGGAATACCGGTACGAAGATATTGGCGTGGGTGGATGTCGGAGTGGTGAAAGGAAAACGAACCCTTAAGCCGGTTTCAAGCACTGGTGCTAAGGCTGTACTTGTACTACTACATTAGGAAGAGAGGAAGCTGCGAATGGGGCTTGGGGTTGCATTTCTGCCATTTTCTACTGTATCATACAATGCAGTGTAAAAGCTGTATGATATACTTGTACATATTTTATATACAAGACCGCTAAAATGAGGTTTTTTAAAAAAAAAAGAAATTAAAGTGGAAATGGAGGCAACAATGACGCAGCCAAGTGGGGAATGGGAAACATTGTTTTTCTATCGGGAAGAATTAATTCGCGTATAGAAGTTGGTTGCTGACTATTGATTCTCGTCAACCTCATTGCGCGGTTCCCGGACATAACTTGGACTAAGACAGCATTGGTGGTTGTATACTGATTTGGTGATAGGAGGATACAGTGTGTAGTGTTGGATCGAATATTGGTTGAGCAAAGTGCCAATGAAAGAAAACACACCAATATCAGTAAAATTCGATCTCTATTAGCCAGCAGTAGTTCACGAACCGCGATACGAATTATTACTGGAATAAAGCTGTGGGCAGCCACGAACTCGGGGATTTTTTTTGCCTGTATTTCTTTCGGCAGCTAGTGATTGTGAGTCGGCGCTTTCACGAGTGAGTAAAGCTCGAGGTATCGTGGTTTGTGCATCAGATGTTGAAACCTCCGAAAATAAGAAGAGTGGTGAGCCAATTATAAAAGGTAGGAGAAATAAAAACAAAATAGAATATATTGGTTCTCAAGTTTGGGGGTTTCCGTGACTTGGGCGCCGCTTTGGCGTGTACCGGTGAGAGAAGAAGTGCTATGGTATTTCTTGAAAATGGGCTTGTATGCCATAAGCTAAAGCCCTGTTCGGCATGGTAAAGAATACTGGAGTTATCTGCACCGTTTTGGAGTGTGTTTTGCAATGTCATCGTTTTTATTTTCGCCTACCGTAGGTATTTTTTCGGAGTGTCAAATACTAACAGTTTCATACTTTTTTTTTTTTTTTTTTTTTGCTAGAATATGCAAAGATATAAGGAAGAATTAATTCTTTTAGATAATACAGTAGTCATGATAGGGAGTTCAACTATACTGCTTCTCAGCTTGATTGGTACTTTATTTTTATTAAATCAGTATCATTAAAATGCAAAAAATAATAATTGTATTCTTATGTATCATAACATCACTTGAGTTCATTGACGAAAAAATATGATTTGTATCATGGAGAATACATATCACCCACCACCTCTGTTAGTGTGATACAAAGGGATGTAGACTGGTGAATTGGATATTAGGCTAATAATAAAAATACTGTTTAGAAAACCTGACTCTGCTGAACATCTTTACTTACAGAAATACTATTGTAAACGTGATAGCAATTTTTTTTACCGCTGTCCACACACGTCCAGACCAAGACTCTTAACCGTTACCCAGGGCCATCTAATAATTTGGGCATCGATCGGACCAAGCTTTTGGATACGGGGGGAAGAAGGAAAGTATAATGCCTGTTCGTAGTAGCGGTCATCTCTCATGATGTTTTCGGAATGCTTTTTCCGTTCTCGGCATATTATACTTTCTCACTTCCCGATCGATTGGTTATTATTGAGGAATGAGAATTGGAATGGAAAATAGATTAATTGACCTATACTGTACCCTAACAGTATTGTAAAATAATAATAATCGTGTTCAATTCCACGAGCGGGCATTTTCGCGAGGCATGATATTTGTTATCACCCCATGGCTTCGTGACGTGAGACGTGTTTCGCGAACACTTGTGCCTAGTGGCTGTAGCTATGATATTACGATACTTTTAAAACTCTGGTGGACCACCGTTTACGGATTCTTCAAACTGCAAATCTCCACTGCTATATCGTTCAATATGAGAGAGCAGCAATGGTGCTGCAGAGGAGAGCTAAGAGGGAGAGAGCATATATGAGGTGAGGAAAATAAAAGAAGGGGTGGAGAAATAGAGAAGGATGTTGGAAAATGGAAAGGAAGCAAAAAAGGATATCGTGGAACTGGAGTTGGGCTGAAACATGTCAGCAGAGTATTCACAACACCAGCAGGCCAAGCAGGAGCGGACAGAGAGTATATACCACGTGCTATCGCCCGATATGCTAGAGCTGTGAACACCGCCCAAGGGACTTTCTGAAGACGATCCAGCAACCCCCGAAATCCACAGAATCCCCCCACCCACTAAATAGCACGCACGCACGCACGCACGCAAACCCAGTGATAATCGCACAGACCCTACACAGCCCTATATCCCCCAACCCCCTAATACCATACCAACCCTTCAGCCCAGCGCACACCCACCTTACCCCCCGCTATCACCACAGCCCCTCACTCGTTCATCTCCAGCAACCCCACACACCAGCATCCCAAAAACCCCTCGAGCAAAAGCTCCCCCTCTCCCCCCGGTCACAAGTCACAAACCCCGATCAACAGGTCAAGATCTGAGTTGAGTTGAGTTGAGCTGAGTTGACCAGGGCGGGGCGCTCCCAGCGGTATTACCCCGGACCTCAACGAATGCAGAAATGGTCCAGTCTTGGCAAGGCTTTTTCGTCCCCCGGCCCGGTCCAGCCCAACCCAACCCAACCCAGCCGCGCGCCCCTCCCGCATCTCGCATTCGGTTAGGGGACACGACCAAAACGGCTCGAACG